ATAAATCCAAAAATAGCAAAGCAAATGAAAAAACATTCTAGTCCACTAGTATTTAAACGTGAGTAATGCTTGAAATTTGGTCCTATTAAATTCGTTATTTAAAATAGTTAAAATATTGCTTTTATATGCTTGTGTGCTCTATATCCATTCCTTGTAGTCTAGCCTCCAAATATGTCTGTAAAAAAGTTTTAAAAAATTATAGCCTATATAATATTAACACATATTTCTTTCTTCAGGCACTACCCTATTTTTCTTTTTTCCTTTACAAACTTCTCAAAAGGTTTCCATCCACTGTGTCCCCACCATCTTTTCTCTTATTTACCCTTAGTCAACAATATAGTCCAATCTGGATTCTGGAGAATTAATTGTGCCAAACCAGCCCTTCCTTTCTCTGCACCCAAGACATGGCCTTTCAAATATATTTTGTTGCTTGAACAACCTCCTTTTTTTAAAAAAAAAATATTTATTTATTTTTATACAAGAACTGGGGCACAGGCCAGATGCACGGGAGGGTGAGAAGATTCACCAGAGACAGAGCAGGGAGCAGAACAGGCAGACTGACGGAAACACACTGCTGAGAGGAGCAGCGGGCGAGGCAGGAGAGGTCTGCTGTGCCATGTGGGAATCTCCCTGACTGGCCAGGAATCGAACCTGTGCTGCAGAGGCTGCAGACAGCTTCACAGAGCTGCGCCACCGGAGAGGCCTTTGAACAACCTCTTATCACCATTTTCTCCTAGTTGATCTATTCTGCTGTCCTCCGTTCCTGTGCCCTTTTCAGTTTTCTAATTCTCTTCCTTGTATTATAATGGTCTATTCCAGTTGTCTTCCTATTCTCTAATCTATTTCTTTTGTTTCTTCTTTAAAGATTTATTTATGCATACAAGAGCTGCGTTTACAGGCCAGAGATGCGGGGGGTGAGAGGACTCACCAGAGACAGAGTGGGGAACAGAACAGGCAGACTGATTGAAACACACTGCTGAGGGGAGCAGCAGGCGAGACAGGAGAGGTCTGCTGCGCCATGTGGGTTTCTCTCTGGCAGGCCGAGGATCGAACTCGTGCTGCAGAGGCTGTGGATTGCTTCATAGGGCGGTGCTTAACCCCTTGCGCTACCCCTAGGAGACCCTCTACTCTTATTTCTAAAACCTTATTATTGTGGCAATTATAGCGTCAGGTACCAGGCATACCTATGCTCCCAAGTTACACCTCTAGCTATAGTACTCTAAATTCTAGAACTAAACATCCAACTAAAAAATTTAGTCTGCATTCTCCAGTTCGTTTTTTTAATAAAAGCATTTCTTTTGCCTAAGGTGTTAACATATAATGTAGCTGAAGTTATTGAGTAATACTTCTATGTTTCCTCCTAGCAAAAAGAAAAGCGGGTTGGTACATTGTTTTCTTTATTCACTTTTTGATCCAGAAGGCCTCTGTGATTTAGACACTCAAGTGTTAAATGAACACTTGAATGAAATGAAATGTACCTTCATCCTTCAAATGAGGTTGCAAAATCCATCTTGGTATTTATTAAGAATGAACAAATGCAAAGAGATTGTAAAGACTCTAAATAATAAAGAGAATAATTAAAAATAGATAAATCCTTTCATATAATTAGCACAATGTACATGCTATCATACAAGCACAACAAAACAGTAAATAGGCTGATGCTACTCATGAACTTAGAAGCCTTAATACACCAATAAGTGTAAACATTTAAACTTTTTTCATGAAGTTAGGAAAAAACCTGTTGAAATGACTAAACGTGTGGGGATATGATGACATGTATCTGTTTATAATAATTTTTTTGATTGAGAGCACAGGTCTCATTCCTTAGCTCTTAATCTTACTTGCAATCTTGATAATAAAGAGTTGGACCTCATGATTTCTTGATTTGACAACTTCCCAAATAGCAGCTTTTGTCATCTTTTTTTCAATTGCAGGCTCCTCCTTGGAAGTTCCTCTTTATCACTGGGAAGAAGCCTTCATTGCTCTGGAGAATCTGTGCATTCCCAATTCTTACACCAAGCAGGTGACCAGGACTTCCCAATGCTGATAATGTGCAGTGAAGAATTTCTGCAGGCCAGTGCAACCAGTCTCTGGTGTGGAACAGATTGCAGATCTGCTGGAGCATCTCATGGAGGACACAAATGTTCTGAGTCTTCGGGACCTTAATGACATCCCACAGAAACAGCAGAAACAACTGAAACCAGTTAAATATCCATTAGTAGGCCACTGGTTCAATAATTTATGACACAACCATTCAGCGGGAATCCACACAACTGTTTTAAAAGATTTTTTTTTCCATTTTTTAACTTTATATATTTTTTACATCATTTTTCATTTTTGCACAATGTATGCATTTTCATCTTGGTTATAGTCCCCATACAATTCCCACCACCCTTGTTTTGATCCTACTCCCCGCCCCACCAGTGTGTCTCTGCTTTATAGTTGCTTGTTGATTTTGATTTTTACTTTATTATAATTAGTCTTTTTCTTTGTCCCTTATTCAGGTTTTCTAAATTCCTGCTATGAGACCATCCGGTATTTTTCTTTTTCCTTCTGGCTTACTTCGCTGAGCATGATTCCTTCCAACTCCATCCATGTTGCTGCAAATTGCATGAGTTTATCTTTTTTGATTGCTGAGTAAGATTCCATTTAAAGTCCTCTATATCTAATATGAGAAGATTTCCAGGTGAAAAAAGATTGGTGGAGAACAGAGTGTATTATATTTTTTCTTTTATTTAAAAGTAGTGTAATAAAAGAATGTATTATTAGTATGCATATGTATAAAGAAACTGGATTAAAAAGACAGTAACTTCAAACTGTGGGAACTGTTGCAAGAAATTCTATCAAAATATACATTTATTTAAAAGCCAAAATTTAAGTTTACTAGTAATTTTTAAAATATCCATTAATAAAACATCCATATAAGGAAAAATCAGTTGAAGGGAAATGCACAAACAATGCTGGTGACTGTATTATGGACAGAAAATTTTATATCTTGAGTCAGTATCCGACCCTTTGTATTTATCCAAAACAGGTTAATTCTGTGCCCAGATTTTATCATTTTTTTACGGATTATATAAAACAATGATGGACAGGAAAGTATATATTCAGGAGCAAATAATGGGCATCGGACACGACAGCAGGTATAGGCGTTGGCAAATTGTGTACCCATTTTAAATTTTGTGAATGGAAAACAAAAACATGAAAATATGACTGCTAATGGAAATGCCCGAAGGCAAAAATTCAGGGCATGTTATTTACATAGTGTGATCACAATTTGCTGTTAAAAAGAGACAAACAATGTCTTAGAGGATTAAAAATGTGAAAATGTGAAAGTTATACATGAGGTGACTACTGAATTGCATAAAATAAAAATTTTCTAGTATTTGATTAAGAAAAAATTAAGCCTTTCCCCCATCCCCCATATCCTCACCCTTAAACCCCTACCCCTACCCTGGGTGGACCCTCTTTGCTAGCATTTCTTTTTTTCTATCTACAGAAGCGGCATTCACTACTGTGACTCAAAAGAGCTGAATTCAGGCCGTGTACATCGTTTTTTTTAGAGATTTATTTATTGATGCATACAAGAACTGGGGTACAGGCCAGAGGTGTGGGGGGGTGAGAGGATTCATCAGAGACAGAGTGGGAAGCAGAACAGGCAGATTTGTAACAGGGTGGTCCCCAGGAAAGGGGGAGGTTCTCTGCCCCACCTAAGGGAGGGTGGAGCTGAGCAGGGAGATGAGAAGCTGCAGAAGAGACTGAGGAAGGAAGCAGGATGGAGCCAGGAGACCTGGAGGAGGCACATGGAACCTAGAGACACATGAAGAAACTGCACTTGTCTTTTGGTCGTGGACTGGGTGACACAGATGTGGGTGATACCCGTGGGGAGGTGACAATGGCAGCTTTTATCTTGATGTTGATTTTGCTCTTTTCCTTCTGGGCTTGTCTGCTTGTTTCTGACCCTTTTCTGTGGGTCCCCACTGGAAGATGCTTTAGACTTGTGGCAGGCTTTGGGGCCTTGCTCTGGGCTGATCCCATATGGATGGACTTTTACCCACGAGGGGACGGTAACTTTGGGTGCTTCATTTAGAAACTAGACTCTTTGCCTTTCCTGTAGTTTCCTAATTGTATTAAAGTTCCTTCCCATTAAAGTCTCATGTTTTGTGTTGATGCGGCCGATAACAGAACCCATTTAGAATAGGCAGGTTTGCAGGGTTTGGGCTGCCCCTCTCCCTGCCCTGTAACAGATTGACTGAAATACACTGCTGAGGGGAGCAGCGAGCAAGACAAGGAGAGGTCTGCTGCGCCATGGGGGTTGCTCCCTGGCCAGGGATCGAACTCGTGCTGCAGACAGAGACTGTGGATTGCTTCATAGGTTGCGCCTTAACCCTTTGTGCCACCAGGGAGCTCCCCCCACTCGCCGTCCCCCCTACATCTTAAGGAAAAAGTGCGCTTTTGAAGGGAGAGCTCAGCTACCTTGAAACTGCACGTTCAGCATAATAAAAGCGCACCCTTTCAGGCCGCAACGACCCCAGAGCGCGCACCCTCGCGGGCCCCCGCCCCGCCCCTCTGGTCCCCAGCTAACTTCCTCCCCTCCCCCGCCCGCCCACGGACACTGTCTGGGGCCGCGCAGCCGCAGTAGCTGCCGCGACCGCTCCTAGCCCGGGGGATCCTGGGATTAGGCCTTTCCGGAAGGACGGGCTCGGCGTCCGGGGCTAGGTCCGTGTTCCAGACCCAGGCCCAGGCGCAGGCCCGTGTTCCAGGCCCTCGGCTCAAGACGGCTCTGTGCCCGCGCCGACGCTCGGGTGACGACGGAGGGCGCGGCGGGCTGCTCGCGGAGGTGCCCGGCCTCGCGGTCCGGGGAGCCGGGGAGCCGCGGTACGTGGCGGCGCCTCCCCCTTGGCGCGGAGCGGAACTGCCGGAGGAGCGGCCGCGCTGGCCGGGCGAGGTGAACCGGGTCACTTAACTGCCTTCAGGTGATGAATCACCCGCGTCGTTGCCGGATTTGAAGGCCGCAGCCCTTTGTGGTCCGGCATTGAAGACGTTCCGGTGCAGGACGGAGTAGAGTGGCCTCCGGGGGGCCGCCCTGTCCGCCTGCCCCTGCGTTCCGGCCCGCGGAGCGTCCGCCTTCCCAGCAGAGCTCCCAGGTGGTCACCGCTTTCTCCAGCGCTCGTCTTTGTGCCCGAGGAAGGCTTTCCCATGAAAGTGTCTCTCGGTAACGGCGAAATGGGCGTCTCTGCCCATCTGCAGCCTTGCAAGGCAGGAACCACACGCTTTTTCACCAGCAATACTCACAGCTCGGTGGTTTTGCAAGGATTTGATCAGCTTCGAATCGAAGGATTGCTTTGTGATGTGACCCTGGTGCCAGGGGATGGAGATGAAATCTTCCCTGTGCACCGAGCTATGATGGCGTCTGCTAGTGATTACTTCAAGGCCATGTTCACAGGTGGGATGAAAGAACAGGATTTGATGTGCATTAAGCTTCACGGGGTGAACAAAGTGGGCTTGAAGAAAATCATTGATTTTATATATACTGCAAAGCTTTCTCTTAATATGGACAATCTGCAGGACACCCTGGAAGCTGCCAGCTTTCTACAGATTTTACCTGTTTTGGACTTTTGTAAAGTATTTCTTATTTCAGGCGTCTCTTTGGATAACTGTGTGGAAGTTGGGCGAATTGCTAACACCTACAACCTTATCGAAGTGGATAAATATGTCAATAATTTCATCCTGAAGAATTTTCCTGCATTGTTGAGTACGGGGGAATTTCTCAAACTCCCTTTTGAACGCCTTGCCTTTGTGCTTTCGAGTAATAGTCTTAAGCACTGTTCTGAACTTGAGCTCTTCAAGGCTGCCTGTCGATGGCTAAGGTTGGAAGACCCTCGGATGGATTATGCTGCAAAATTAATGAAGAATATTAGATTTCCACTGATGACACCGCAGGATCTCATCAATTATGTGCAGACGGTAGATTTCATGAGAACAGACAATACTTGTGTGAATTTGCTTTTGGAAGCTAGCAATTACCAAATGATGCCATATATGCAGCCAGTGATGCAGTCAGATAGAACTTCAATTAGATCTGACTCAACACACTTGGTTACATTAGGAGGCGTTCTGAGGCAGCAGCTGGTTGTCAGTAAAGAACTGCGGATGTATGATGAAAGGGCACAAGAGTGGAGGTCGTTAGCCCCCATGGATGCCCCCCGTTACCAGCATGGCATTGCTGTGATTGGAAACTTTCTTTATGTTGTTGGCGGTCAGAGTAATTATGATACAAAAGGAAAAACTGCCGTTGATACAGTTTTCAGATTTGATCCTCGGTATAATAAATGGATGCAGGTTGCCTCATTAAATGAAAAGCGCACATTCTTCCACCTTAGTGCCCTCAAAGGACATCTGTATGCAGTTGGTGGGCGAAGTGCAGCTGGTGAACTGGCCACAGTAGAATGTTACAATCCGAGAATGAATGAATGGAGCTATGTTGCCAAAATGAGTGAACCCCACTATGGTCATGCTGGAACCGTGTATGGAGGCTTAATGTATATTTCGGGAGGAATTACTCATGACACTTTCCAAAACGAGCTCATGTGTTTTGACCCAGATACAGACAAATGGACACAGAAGGCTCCAATGACGACAGTCAGAGGTCTACACTGTATGTGTACAGTTGGAGACAAGCTCTATGTCATTGGTGGCAATCACTTCAGAGGAACAAGTGATTATGATGATGTTCTAAGCTGTGAATACTATTCACCAACCCTTGACCAGTGGACACCAATTGCTGCTATGCTAAGAGGTCAGAGTGATGTTGGAGTTGCTGTTTTTGAAAATAAAATCTATGTCGTAGGTGGATATTCTTGGAATAATCGTTGTATGGTAGAAATTGTCCAGAAATATGACCCAGAAAAGGATGAGTGGCATAAGGTTTTTGACCTTCCAGAGTCACTTGGTGGCATTCGAGCTTGTACTCTCACAGTTTTTCCACCTGAAGAAAACCCTGGATCACCTTCTAGAGAATCCCCTCTTTCAGCACCTTCGGATCATTCTTAGGACTAAGGTGTGATATGTTTGCAGTGCATCATGGATGATCTTGTACTTTCATTGTACCTGAAATGACTGGTACAGTTATTAGATAAAAAGGTAATTGGTGTTTGTGTTGTTTGGCTTAGTCTGTTTATTAAATGGTTAACAAGTGCATTCTGAAAATGTATTCAGCATAGCCAGCTGTTTTAACATGTTAAAAAAAAAAGATAAGTAGAAAATGTTAGATGTCTTTTTGTGGTGTCTTGTAAGTTAAATTGTAGGTGATTGTAGTAAATGTATAATTATGTTCATTGTGTTTCAAAGTTGAAAGTTCACCTTTGACTGCAACTCATCAAAGGGTGGCTGCTTGCTTTAACTAAGGTTATAAACAAAAAAGGTTGTCAAGTATTAACTATCTCCTTTTTTTCCATCGTTTTTTCCATAGTTGCCAATTCATCAGGTTGTATGGGTACATTCAGAATATGTAGTTTTTAGACAGACAGAAGAAATAATACATTCAGAAATATTAACTAAAAAAAAAGTGTAGCCCTAATTCAGAGTTGTGCATCACTATGGAGGGAGAGAAAATGCACCTATACACATACATATGTATATACACTAATGCATACCTACACATGTATCATTTTTAAATTTATTGGCACTTCAGCTATAGTAAAGTTTTTTATTTAAATTTAAATTCTGTTCTGCTTAGCAGCTATTTCTATTCAAATGGGAATTCAGTAGCAGAGAATAAATGTCTATATAGTAATACCGAGTTGAGATAGATGAAGACTCCAACATAGTAAATTGACAACCAAATCTGTCATTTGGCTAAATTGTTATTTAGGTAAAACATTACTTTTTCTGTGTGTATATTGTTTTCTGTAGAGTTGCTTTTATACAAGTTATTAAGTTCAGGTTTCAGAGAATTGCTTTTGCTCATTAAATTTAGGATCTGCTGTTTTCTACCTTTTTATTCAGTAACACTTAAGGAAAAGGCAGAGAAAGAAACACGCTGAGCAAAGCTGTAGGATTTAATGTTTAGTCGCCCAACTTAGTTATTCTGACATGATTGTTTAGTTTTGGAGTGGTTTTGTGGTGCTGCTCCAGCCCAGGTGCATCTTGAGCTTTGTGTGATCTGCCTCAAGGCTGTCATCTAAGCAAGCAGGAGATTACATTCTTCTGCATCAAATCAGAATAATGTCCTTTTGACTATGTCTAAAGGATAGGACCAACTTCAGATTCCATAAGAAGCCAGCTTCGGAAAGCCTAGGAAACTGCTGTCCTTGCAGGCTGTCCTGCAGTAGATCATCAGCCCCTGGTACCAAGTGCGACCATACTGGTTGAGAACCACATGGGAAGATCTTAATGGGACCGCGTCAGCAAAGGAAATATAGGAGCTCTCCGTAGTAAATGATTCTGAAGAGGTACTTTCCTCAAATAGTTGTTCTAAAGGAGGAAAATTACACATAAACTTAGGTATCAATATATGTATACCCTAGCCTATATTTGGGATATTGTCATACGGTAAATTAGGAACAACCTCTTTTTCTGACAATCCCATAATAAAACTCAGGAACCAAGAAAAGAAGGAATTGGCTTCCAGGAATCTGAACCTTACTGCCCATTGATTCATTTTAATGCTTTTTATAATTTCTGTATTGGCAGAAATTTTCATACTTTGTATTTTTTTTATGACTCAATTTTTTATTAACAAAAATAGCACACTTGGGTACCTTTAGAGAATAGGAAAAGTAGAAATTACTATTAACTTTGTGCATCTAATACGCAAGAAATGGCATCCTAATCACTTCCTTGATTATTAATGAAGTTGAATATTTGTGGTTTTTGAGTAGCTGTGTTCTTTGATCAAATGTGCATGTTCTTTGCTCTTGTAATACCTGTTGGAGTTGCTTTTGTTTTTTCATATTGTTATCGTTGTGTAATAAATATCATTTAACTGATATTACTTGCATTGATTTTTTTCTCCCCTCCCCCCTCAGTCTTAACAGTTTTACAAAGGCAAGGTCATCGCGCTCATTTTTGAGATCAAATTTGTTCATTTTGCATTTTGATCTTTTTGGAATAATTTTGTTATGGGTCCTTTATTTTCTACATAGTATTTATGTATTGCTTTTTCAGTGCTAATTCTGACATGCCAAGATGGAATTGCCCTGCTTTTTCTCTATTCTGTTCAAGCTTTTCTGTTGTTGAAAAAAAGTTTTTGCCTTTTTATTATGCTTGATACTGTTGCTAAATCATGTAAACTAACTTCTCCATCTATATCCCCAATGTCCAGCTTTACACACCAGCCTGTCTTCCTTTGAGTTTTTAGTTATCTGCAGCTGACAGCTCTGTTGGCAATCATGAAATAGCTGGCCAATGCTATGATAATACTGTTGTTATTCTGGAATTTCTTACAGATACGAAAATTTTAGGTGACTGAAATGAAAGGTTATTTTCATAAGCTCATCATTTTTACAGAAAATTTAGACTGGAAAAATACTTAAAAGTGGACCAAAAACTGCAAGGCTGTAAAACATTCTGTTAAGATTTTATTTCTTTTACTTTTTTAATGTTCAAAACTATTTGTTAGCTTTTCTGATTATAAAAATAATTTCTATTATAGAAACTAAAGGAAATAAAAGTGAACAAAAGATGTAAGTTACCAGTGATTCTACATGCTGAAGGTAACTTCGTTAATATGAGTATATTATGCATGTACATACGTACAGACATGCCAAATATTTTTTCAAATTCTAGGCTGAAATCTGGATAATAAAAGGAAATCAACTACCGAAAAGATACAACTTTTTCCCCAGATTTAAATATGTATATATTTAAAATAATATGTAAGTTTCCCCCCTAATTATCAATTACATGTGCATTAGGAAGATTACTTTTCTACCCAGACAAATCTGTAATTAGTTTTATCCCCCTCTGGCCAGTAGTGGTATTTTTGTATCTGCAAAGCAGATACACTGAAGTTACTTTCATATTTTTCTGGTTTGCAATTAAAATTAATCTAGTCCTGATTATAAAGATAAAATATGCTCCTGCAGAACATGAGTTCATTCAATACTACAGAAGTATATCATCCAGAAAAGTAAAATCAAGGTCCTACCTAGCCCCAGCTTAACCAATTACTAACTCTTGGAAGAGTTGGGGGTAAGTTAACCTCTCTAAACTTCAGTTTCCCCACTTGTCTTTGGGATTGGGAGTTGGTGTTAATAATTACATCAACATCAGAATTCTAAGGAGATAATATTAAGCAATTAGCATAAAACTTGCACACAGAAGCATCTAGTAAATTATAGTTGTTACTAATATAGCTGACATGCTGCATCATAATTTAGAGCTTTTAGTTTCATTTTAATGATTTTCACAGGTTTTTTTTATACTTGGAAGTATTAAGTGTCTAAAATATTTCATCCATGAATGTGCCTTCATATTTTTTTCCATTTCCCAGTAGATACATATTTAAATATCTACCTCTAGTTTTCATCATTATAAATTAAGCAAGGTTGAATATTCATACATAAAATTTTGTCCATGACTATTACTTTGTGATAAAATCCAAGTAAAATCTGTGTCAAGTAATACAGGTTCTCAAAAAACAGTTCCAAAGTGGGCCAACATGCATTTCCAGCAAAAGGTGTCCAGTGGCTTTCAAAGAAATCTGCAGTTTTAGTTATCTTTTTGTTTGGATTTATAATTATTGGCAAAAATGAATTTTTGGTTCATTGGGCACATACATTTTGCATAATCAATTCGTGTGTCCTGAATTTTGCTTTACATGTCCTATTTGCTACATGACTTTCCCCCCCTATGGCATTTTTATGGGGGTAGAACTAGCCTATTTTTTAAAATGAAATATAATTAACTATAGTTTCAGGTATATATACAACACAGTTGTTCATATGTATACACTGTGAAATAACCATAGTAAGTTTAGTTAACATCTGTCACTACAGGCAGTTGAAAGATTTTTTTCTTCTGATGAGAATTTTTAAGGTCTATCCTCTCACCAACTTTCAACCATACAATAGGGTATTATTAACTACAGTCACCATTCTGTACATTACCATCCCCTGGACAATTGGTACATCAGTAACCGGAAGTTTGTACCTTTTCACAACCTGCACCCCATTCAATTTAATATAGTCTACTATGTCCATCTTTTTTGCGTTTTGATCTTTTGGTGATATTTTCTGTTTTTTTGCAATAGTATTAAAGTCATAATCCTAACCTTTAATCTTTCACTGTATTGATGATGGTTCTTAATGTGCCAAGATGGCATTTACTGTTTGTCTCTTGTTCAAATTGCTTTCTGTTTGAAATGAAGATTATTTTTTCCCATAAATTTATAAAAATTCCTTTTATAGTAATAGCAGTTTTTATTTTCAGCAAGTGTTATCTTTTTGGGTATATATTTTAGCATTCAAGTTATGTTTGTAATGTACTGAAATTACTTGTTCATTTGCCATTTTTATAGTTTTCTGCATTAATTTTTCCTATCAAAGAAATGGTATGATTATTCCAGTATTTTATGTTGTTATGGATATGACTTTTTACTAGACTTTTAATATAAAATTTATCTTTTCAAATTACTGTCCATTTTCCCACATCACTGCTTTTCAGAAAATCTTTACTTTTCACTGAATTTTGTTTTAAATTATGTAATAAAATCTTTATGGGAAATTTAGGGGTTTTTGTTTTCAGTTCTCTTTTATATATAGATTATGAATGGAATTTTGTTTTCACATTAAATTCCATACTGTACTGCAGTGGTAGGGAATACAAGGGCTAGCGTGTTTTCTGCCATCAGACCTACCATAAATTAACTTCTTAAATGAATTTTTAAAAAACCTCCCCCCACCCTGGTTTTGATACCTGATCTGTGTCTCTATATTTGAATGGCTGAGTGATAGTTAAAATAAAAAGACTTAAATATTCATTAAAGATAATTGCATGCATTGCAGAACTGTTGAAGTTATGATCCTTAACCAAAGGCACTAATTATAGGTAATTTGGTAACTGGAGTTGAGTATTCTCTTTCTAGGAACTGGTGTTAGTCTGCCATCTGCTGGCTAAAGTTAAAATCAATCTAGAGAGAGTGAGGAAAATGTATCCTTCATACACAAAACAGCAATAACAAAACCAACAGAAACTTTTACAGATATGTGAAAGTTCAGTCTTCAGATCACATTCAATTACACAGATAAGTGCAAAAATCCTGTGGTAATTCTTGTACATAGTGGGTCAGATAAGTCAAGAGAAGAATATTTTTATATCAAAAACAGGTTTAAAAGTTTATCTACAGATTCATATAATTGAATGCTATAAAAAATCTGCAACATTTCATCTGAATTTAAAATATTCATGTCACCATTGTTAACATTTTTTTTAAAGTGAATTCCCCATAACACTTACTTTTCTTTTTTAGCAGAGAACCTCATCGTGAAAACACTTCACAGAGGAAATCTTTTCAATATCAGAAAGAATGTAATATGCAATGTGTCCTAGTATAAGTAAATATGAAAAACCTCTATTTTAAGAGCTTTTGATAGTGGTTTGCCTATTCAATGCTAGGATCAGATCACTGCTCTATACACATCGTTTTGATCAAGGACAGACAGCAGTGTATGTACCCTGGCACACACATAACACAGAATAGCTTCTGCAACAGTGGACCCAAAAATGTTTTAGTAGCGTTCATTTCTTTAACAGGCTCAAAGAAAGCCTGTTTCTCAGCTATCAGAACACTAAGCATACATAACGGCCTTTTCACTCATTTCCCAAAACCATCCCAGAAAAAAAGACTTATACTTTGAGCAGTCTTTCCTTCAGGGTGGGATATGACTGAAGTGACCTCTTTTTTTTTTTTTTTTTTTTTTTTAAATAGAGGCATGTTTTATTTATTTATTTGTTTGGTTGGTTGGTTTATATATGCACTGGGTACAGTCAGAAGCACGGGAGGGTAAGAGAATTCACCAGAGCCAGAGCAGGGAGCAGAGCAGGCAGAAGGACCGAAGTACACTGCTGAGGGGAGCAGCGGGCGGCAGGAGAGGTCTGCATGCCATGTGGGACCCTCCTCCGGTAGCCAGGGAGCAGCCGGGGATCGAACCGGCGCCGCAGAGGCCGAGGGCAGCTTTGCAACCCAGCGCTCAACCGCTGCGCCACCAGGGAGCCTTGAAGTGACCTCTAAATAATGCCTCCTGAAGGATATCAAGAGTGCACATATCCCCATATTTTCTAGAGAGAACGGAATAAGTTGTATTTCATGTAATCTTAGAACAAGATGAGTATAAAGCTGATGACAGCAGCCAAGCTCTGCGACATAGCATAAAGGTTTCATTACATGCAGCCTCCTTCTCTAATTCCAAATTCATAGAGTATTCTGGCTCTTTACTAACCCATCTTCCAGAACGTTGTTACTGTACAGGTAGAGGTGTAGGTTTATCATCCTTTGCCTCATTGCACCCAGTCAGCAGAGTCCGTGTATGAGTGGGTGGGCAGAGGTCTAATTTCTGACTCAAAACAACTTCTCTTAGGTGGGAAGTAGGGTTTATCACTTGCAAAACATTCTTCAGCCAAAAATTAGTGTGACCCATAAAAACTTTCTAATTCTTAGTAAATCATGAACCAAAACATACTCAATATGAAATCCTAATTTATGGTCAATAATATTCATTTCTGTATATAGCTAGGCAGAATGTTTACTTCAGTATGTTTAATTTCCCCATTCTTCTGTGAGAAAATCACAGAACTCGCAAAAACATCCAAATATGTGTATATACACTTGAGGGCATCACTGGAACTGGAAGATTTGAGAAAGAGGCTTTTCTAACATTTGAGGCTGACTCTCCATTAAAGAAGTGAGCTCACCTGTGGCCTGGATTTGTCCTATTTCCTCCTGCAAGGGGACTAGATTATGGATCCAAATGATTCTGCCCACTTGGTTCACTTCTCAAACATGTAGTTTTTGATATTTATGTATCCTATTCACACTGACCACTGCAGTGCAGAGGTAGACAGAGAGCTTTCCTGTCCTTATTCTTATCCAACAATACATTTCTTGCTTTTCTGCCTGATCTGGT